ACGCCCTTTAAGCAGAGACATCGTCGTATTCCACCAGCTATGTTTGATGAAGTTAGAAGTCATTTACAGGAGTTGCTATCTGCAGGTGTAATAAGACACTCACACAGCCCATGGGCATCCAATGTAGTCCTTGCTAAGAAGAAAAATGGAAAACTCAGGATGTGTATAGACTTCAGGCAACTGAACCGCCGAACCATCAAAGATTCCTACGCACTTCCCAGAATCGAAGAAATGCTTGACTGTTTAGGTGGTATGACCTACTTTTCTGTCCTTGACATGAAGAGCGGCTACCATCAGGTAGAGGTGGAGGAAGATCATAAGCAAAGAACCGCATTTACAGTAGGTCCTTTAGGGTTTTTCGAGTATAACCGGATGCCCTTTGGCTTATCCAATGCTCCAGCTACTTATCAACGATTGATGGAGAAGTGCTTAGAAGGCCTTCACTTGAATATATGTCTGATCTATATTGATGACTTGATAATTTTCTCCAGGACATATGAGGAGCATGTCGAGAGGCTTAAGCTTGTGTTCCAGCGGCTGCAGGAATGTGGACTTAAGCTAGCTCCCAAGAAATGCAAGTTTTTCAAGAGAAAGGTCAAATACGTCGGGTACATTGTTTCAGCTGATGGCATTGAAGCAGATCCTGAGAAGATTGACAAGATTCGTCAATGGCCTACGCCAACTACACCAGAACAAGTTCGACAATTCCTGGGGTTTGCAGGCTATTATCGAAAATTTGTCAAGGACTTTTCAAAGATTTCAAAGCCTTTATCTGAACTACTGCCAAAGACTGCTTCCAAGAAGTCAAGAGCCCAGAAGCTGACCAAACAGGAATGGACATGGGGTGTTTTGCAGGATCGAGCTTTCAATGAGTTGAGGATAAAGTTATCAACATCGCCAGTGCTTGGTTACGTTGATTTCTCGAAGCCTTTTGAACTTCATACTGATGCCAGTACCCAAGGTCTCGGTGCAGTACTGTACCAGGAACAGGAAGGTCACCTAAAGGTTATTGCTTACGCCAGCAGGAGTTTGAACCGTTCAGAGAGAAACTACTCAGCACATAAATTAGAGTTCTTGTGTCTGAAGTGGGCTATCTCTGATAAGTTCCACGACTACCTGTATGGTAATGACTTTACTGTAGTGACAGATAATAATCCGCTCACATACGTACTAACTACAGCTCGACTTGATGCTACGGGTCATCGCTGGTTGGCAGCCTTGGCAAGCTACAACTTTAGCATCAGATATAGACCAGGAAAAGAGAATGTGGATGCAGACACTCTGTCACGACTGCCCACTAAAGACGACAATACCGAGGTTGATCAAATCACAGCAGATTCAGTTCGTGCTATCTGTGGAATGATCAATGTAAACAGCTTGGTAGAAAGTCTCTGTATGTCCACAGAAGTAACAGGAGAGAAGGAAATCAATGTTGACGAAGATCAGTGTAACATGAATGCCAGTGATTGGAGACGTGCGCAAGCTAGAGACCCTTGTCTGGCAACCATCATTGAGGGACTGGAGAACACGATCAAGCCTGACAGAAGGTCATATATAGGGAACTCAGAGATGACAATATTGTTGAAGAACTACGATCACTTCAGAATCCAGAAGGATGTTCTCTACCGTGTTGTTCAACAGCATGGAACTGAACAGAAGCGACTTGTTCTCCCTTCACGGTGTCGAGCAGCAGCTTTACGAAGTCTTCACGAAAATATAGGACACCCAGGCAGAGACAGGACAGTTTCTCTCCTCAAGGAAAGGTTCTACTGGCCTGGTATGGCCAAAGACGTTGAGATTCACATACAATCTTGTGGCAGATGCATGAAGCGCAAGTCCTCCACCTCAATTCGTGCACCTCTGGTTAGTATCACAACATCTCAGCCACTTGAACTAGTGTGCATGGATTTTTTGACATTGGAACCCTCTACAGGTGGTCAGCAATATGTTCTTGTGATAACAGATCATTTTACTCGTTATGCACAGGCATATCCATCAAAGAACACTTCAGCAAGAACCACAGCAGAGCTGTTCTTCAACAACTTTGTAGTCCATTATGGTTTGCCCAAAAGGATTCATTCGGACAAGGGAGCTAACTTTGTGGGCAAGGTGATGACTGAGCTCTGTCAGATTCTAAAGATCGACAAGTCCTCCACAACACCTTATCATCCCATGGGTAATGGAATGTGCGAGAGGTTTAATAGGACATTGTGCAATATGCTTGGAACACTTGAACCTGAAGCCAAGAAGGATTGGAAGATCAATGTTGCACCACTAGTGCATGCGTACAACTGCACACGACATGAATCAACTGGACACTCTCCTTTCTATCTCATGTTCGGTCGTCATCCCAGACTTCCTATAGATCTGGCCTTTGGACTAGACATAGAACCTGTCACCACGAGATCAATTCTCAAGTATACCAAGACCTTTCAGGAAAAGCTGCGTAATGCCTATGAGATAGCTACTAGACAAGCCAAACAGTCTCAATCCCAGCAGAAGTCCTACTACGATCAGAGTGCAAGAGCAGCTGTATTAGATGTGGGTGACCGTGTCCTTGTTAAAGTAGTAGCTTTTGACGGTCGTCACAAACTAGCTGACAAGTGGGAAGATGACATTTACATTGTCACAAGCCAACCAAACCCTTCTATACCAGTGTATGTTGTTGAAAAGGAAAACGGAGGGGGCAGGAAGAAGACTCTTCATAGGAATCTGTTACTGCCCATTGGTTCTCTTCCTAGACCAGAAACATCTATTCCTGTACCCAAACCACGGAAAAGGAGGTCTAGCCCACGTCTGCAACCTACTATGAGAGAGACAACATCAACCGATAATGATCAAAACACCACCGCAGAGAGTGAAGATGATGACTTTGCACTCGTCCCCATCTCTTCATCAGAACCGTCAGTTTCAGCTGCAGATGTAGTTGATAGGCCAGCTGAGGTAGAGGCAGATATAGATAGTACTACTGATGATGAAGATGCAGAGGACCAGTCACAGGAAGTTGCTCTAGATTTGGAGCAGGATGTGGGTGCATCTTCAGCGGTGGATAGATCCAACAATGATACATCTGACACAGCACAGACATCACAGGAGGACGAAACATCTGAAGTTCTGAATTTACCTTCAGAACCAGGGATAGCACAAGATGTTAGCGTACCTCAAGAGAGATTGGTCACACCACCAGTACCATGTCCCAGGACATCCAGTCGTTCCAGGACTAAACCACAGTGGATGACCAGTGGTGAATATGTGATGTCAGCAGCTGTACCAAAACCTGATTGGAAGTCCAGAGCAGAGTACCTCACTTCATTGATGCTCAGTGGTATTCTGACGAGTGATCCTGGACAAGTTCAAGACACTCTACTTCACCTTATCTCAGGCAAATGATGAGGACATCATTTAGTCCCAGGGGAGGAAGTGTGTGGTAGATAGTAGTTCTGTATATATTAATCATGTTTTATTAATTAGCTTTTAATTTACTATGTATGTTGTCAATAATGGTATTTTGTATATTTCAGATATTGCAGTAATCAAGAATTATTTATTGTATTTCTCATTTCAGGCTGCATACTTAAGTAGTTGTTAGTCAAGTATTGTCATTAAAGCCCTATTCCAATGTCATGTTTTACTTAGTGGGTCAGTCAACTGCTTGGTGGTCAATCAGAGTGTAAGCCCAGGCGTCCTCTGGATTGGCTAGTTTTAAATCTCTGTGTCCCACTTTCTAACCCCTTTGTTTTCACACTGCACTTGGCATTACTACTTCACTGTGCACTGGACTGGAAGAAAGGATATACTTATATAAAGGTTAGTAGTTAAAAGTTATAATTGTATTTTATGCCAGTATAATTATGCAAATCACTTAAGTTTAATAAATGTCTATATAGATCCTTAATTATATTTAAACATGTCACATTTACTAGTATTAGTGTGTGCATGGTGAGTGTATGTATACTAGATATATTTCATTTTACTATATGTGTGTCTGTGTTAATCTAGGACATTTGTGTATTCTGTAACTTGAATTGTGTATTAATAAGTTGATAAAAGTTTACATGTTATGTTCATGTGTGTAGATAAACATACCTTCATGATGTATTTTATATCATGAACAGGTTTTCACGAGGGATTTAATCTATTTACAAGGGATTGTGACCACCCAAATACACCCCAGTGGGATTCACCGGGTATATATATATATGTATACTTATATATTGTTGCATTGTAACATAATATTATATTTATTGTACCATATTTATATAAAATGTGTAAATCCATTAAACTTACATATCTAAGCTTATAATTGTGAAATGTTATAAATGATATATCATGTATAGCTTATAAGTGTATTAGATTATTAATTAATCTGCTTCAGTTTTGATGTACTAGATATAATTGTATGTTTATTATTGTATTCATTGTTCCAGGGTGTCGGTTTACCAGAACAGAAAATAAATTAATCATACCTCACACCCTAGCCTGTGTCATTATGTTATTTGGGATAATACATATGCACATATAATGGCTACAACAGTATCATTGTCCAATTGAAGGAAAAAAACATCCCCGAATTACACACAACTGTTTTGACCAGCACTGCACTTGCTTCGGTGTCATCCACAATTTCTGTTACAGCAATGGCAGATGGGGAGACCACATTGCGAATATCAAACGTCGATTTGTTTCTAGCCTTTGAAATTCATGCCACTCAGTTAGCTAAAAACTACTAAATTATGCTGAGGACAAGTAAAAATCCAGTGATGATATTCCTCCATGGCTACAAATAATTGATGACTGTTGGTTGTTTCTATATAACGGTGACCTTAGACCTCAGACCCAATTGTTCCTCCTGTTGAGGACTTTGTTCATACTTGGCCCAGTTTGATAAATTATATACAAGTTGCAGTTACCTCCCTTGGAGATATTAAATATTTTGATGTGGAGAAATAGCTACATATCTAGCTGTATTTTTAAGAAACCTCTGAAGCATGTCCCCTCACCTTCATCCCATTGAGGACTTCGTTCATCAGCTTGAGCCTGTTGTCCTTGCACTTCATCTGTTCCACCTGATAGTTCCTCTGCTTCGTTGCGATGAAGGCATTAATGGGCATGAGGAGCACCATGACCCCGAGGCCCGCGAACACGGAGGCGCCCATGGTGCTGTACAGCATGTAGAGAGCCAGGCTGATCTGCAGCGGGGCGGACCACAACATCCAAAGATACGCCGTCACGTCCTGGAGGCGCTGACAATCCACGGACATCAGGTTCACGATCTCACCCATTGTAGACTCCTTCTTGGCCTCGTTACTGATGGTCAGGGCCTGGAGTGAGGGAGAGGGAGAGAGTCAAATGGAGTCAAATAGAGCGTTAAGAGACTCGGTTAGAGAGTTAGAGATTGAGTTTGAGGGTAAGAGTGTCAGAGAGTAAATGAGTGAGAATCAGTCAGAATGGGAGAGTGATAGAGAGTAAGAAGGTAAGAGTGCTAAGTGACAGTGATGGAGAGTGTGTTTGAGGGTAAGGGAGTGAGGGAGTGATGGATTTGAGATAGACTTTGAGAAAATGTGTGAGTGAGTCAGTTAAACGTGAGTGAGAGTTACAGAGTGAGTAATAGACTTAATATGTAAGAGTAATAATATGAGAGTTTGGGCTTGGGTGCAAGGTGACAATAACCATTAGGATCAACAGAATAGGAAAAATGACAAAACCTATAAGTGAGTGAGTGAGTATGGTTTTACGCCGCTTTTAGCAATATTCCAGCAATATCGCGGCGGAGGACACCAGAAATGGGCTTCACACATTGTACCCATGTCGGGAATCGAACCCGGGTCTTCGGCGTGACGAGCGAACGCTTTAACCACTAGGCTACCCGACCGCCCCTACAAAACCTATAAAGGGACATCAGTGTTAGAAATTAAGAAGGGGCATTGTGGTCATTACAAGGACCCACTTCTTTTCAGGCTTAATTACGAACACTTGGCACAGCCTAGCACTCACCACCTTCCCGAGACAAGGAGGTTAACTGACTATAAAAGTCCAGTTTCCACCCTTGCCAAACTAGGCTGCAATTATGGAGTTCTATTTTGCCCGGACTAACGAGTCTATGCATAGTCCAATCAAAATCGTGTAACAAAATTAACATGCGGTTCGTAAACTGACGAGTGGATTTCGGTTTTGCACCATCAACTTAGCGTGAACATATATATTCCAAATCTCTTCATATTTTTAATGAAGGTGATCACATGATTTGTGGCACTTCACGAATTAAGACCCGTTTATTTACAATAGAGATCTTGATTATCGATCAGCTTGTCTTCACTGGGAGGCGCCATTTTTTTCAAGTAAATGCAAGTGATATGAAAGGTGGAATCTCATTAGTCAATAGGAAGGACTAAGAAGGGACATAACTCGTAATAGCTTCGATCGAGCCCAGGATTTCCAGTGTGGAAACTGGACTTTTACAGTCAGTCACTCCCTTGCCTCGGAAGATGAGCACCCACCTGCCACCTTGGTCTAAATGTTGCGGAGTTATTAGAGTCATCCCTTACTGCTCTTCACCATACATTTGAATTAGCAGACAAACAATGTAATTGCTGGGACTGTTGATTTGCCCGAGTCCAGTCTCCCTTTAAGTGATGTTTCCAAAAGTTATGGTTTTTTTTATTTCAACCACCAACCTTATCCATAAAAAATACACTAAATAATAAATGCAAAAACATCATATCTGTCAAAATGTGCCCACCTTCTTGAAGACGGCGGAGATACAGGCAGATTTGATCCTCATGCCGAGCGTCATGCCGAGATGGTAGTTCTGGTGGGAGAAAACAGACTGGACTGTGGCCACAACGAAGAACGAGCAGGCAAACACATAGCCCTTCCACTCCTGCTCGCTCTCCCGGTTCTGTGTGTAGCTAATCAGAGCACTGGAACAGACAGAGTACCTTAATATCTGCTTCTATATATATCATGCTTACTAGGGCTGGGACGGGTAACACGGGTACTCGGGTCGGGTGGGTACTGAGTAGGACCCGGGTACCCACAGGACTACCCGGGCCCGTGGTTAGTCACGTGATATATTGTTTAATGACAAAAAGTATCTAACACTCTATGTTTAAACTACAAGTCACTAATGTTTGCAGTTTTTCCTAACTACTACGCCCATTCTGACTTTTATATGTTTGAATAAAAAGAAAGCTTCAGTCAACTTCAGTCTATACACCAGATCATTTAAAATTATACATGTATCTAAACACATTTTACCAGAGCTACGGTCAAACTATTCCCAATCGGACAGTTTCTATCCTACCTACAGCGGGTACCCGGGTAGGGTCGGGTAATAGGGTGGTGGGTACCCGGGTAGTAACTTTGGACTCGTCCAAGCCCTAATGCTTACTACCATACACTGACAGATCTCTTTCCTGGGTATTTTGTTTATTCTTACTTGAAACTGTGCAGACACAAAGACCAGATTGTCAGCTGGTGCCTTTTGCTATTTAGGGACTTTGGACATTTAAATTTATTTCTCCGTTTCCATGGCAACAGGCCTGACTTTGACTCATAGTGCTGTGTACCTGACATAGAAATACAAAGTTCCAAATCCAAATTCCATGGTATTGTTTTGATAACTCAATAACTTCTCTTGTACACGGACAGACAGATTAGATGGAAATTATCTCATCAAGTTGGATTTAGAGTAACAGTCAGATGGGGGCTGTCATCTTTGATTTCTCATCATCTGATGACTCTTGTTCAATATCGCTACCACACTGGTTGGAGTTCATGTAAAGCTATGAATAGCATCAGACTTTGGGATTTACTATTCTTAAGGGAGATTATCAGGCTCGGCATCAAATGGAAAGCTTTTAGTGGATTTTTTTTCTCAACATTCCAAATTCACTGTTATATTCTATTCTAGGCCACACAATTGTATCACTGACGAACTCAATTTTAAAATGGTGCACGTTGCAATGACTGAGGGGCAATGATGGCGCATTCTTTTTTAATTAATTCCAATCCAATAAAACAAATAAAGTATCCCGAAAACAATATGTTTTGATTGTAAACTCGTTAAAACTTAAAATCATCAACTCACAAATACTGAATTACGTTAAACATGGTTAGAGCACTCTGCAGATGTTTTGGGTCAAGTGGGCAAGTCCAGAGTGACCTCAGAGATTATTTGGGTAGGCCACTCCGTAAGACAAGTAACACTTACTTGAGCAGCATAGGACTGACGAACTGAAGCAGATCATAGATGAACTTGCAGAACCAAGACACAGCGATCTCTAACCAATATGTCTTTGCGAGAACTTTGAAGAGTGACGCTTCCTTCAACTTGATGCCATCGTCGTCCTTGGTGCCCTTGAACTTGACCTCCTTATTCTTGATGGGATCATGCAGCAGGGGGGTCTTCTCGTTTGTGGATTGGATGGCTAAATGTTGCTTGGAGCCCAAGCTGCGGCGGTAGTGGACTTGCAAGTGCCGCTTTTTCCTACTGACAAACAATAATTCTCATCGGTTGGTCAAAGTGAAGATATTTAATCATATATCCTATTTTATTGGTCAAAATGGCCACAAAAATCAAATTTAGTTGTTCTGTATATTTAAGCATGAGATAATCAAACATAATAATGTCATTGTGCGGATTCTAATCTCATTTCGTTTGTTTTGAATTGAGCTCAAAAACACATGTTTTTTCTGATTTTGAAGTAAAGTTCATCATGCAGTTTCACCGTGTTTCATTATCGAATGCTTATAAATGACGACCCTTGACAAAAAAATAGTAAGACAGGGTTCGCTTGTCATGCAGAAGACCCGGGTTCGATGCCCAACGTGGGTACAGTGTGTGAAGCCCATTTCTGGTGTCCCCCGCCGTGATATTGCTCACTCACTCACTCAATTTGTTTGGGTACAGGACACCGTACTTTGTGTACCCTGGTTGTACTTACTCGTTGATGAGTTTACTTCTGTGGATTTCCTTGTCCCATGCGTTGTTGAACTGGGGAACAACTCTCTCGCTCTTGTCTCTCGGATGAAGCTCAAACATGTCAGCCTCCTCCAAGCCTTTCCTGTAACCTGTGAACACCATGCTGGAACACACAAACCATCACATCGGCTGTAACACACTTCATCACATCAGGGGGCACAGGTGGCCCAGTCGTCTAAGGCGCTGTGCAGAGTTGCGTCCCTTGAGCACGCCAGAAACCCGTGCTAGTGGGTTTCACCGAAGTGGTAAACGTCTGTGACTTGCATCACTCCAGGCTTTCCTCCCACATTAAGCTGACACGCCGTGATATAACTCGAATACTGTTAAAAGCGGCGTTAAACCCAACTCACTAACTCACTCAGTCATCACATCAGTTGTAACACACAAGACTTTACATCGGCTGTAACAAACAAGACTTTACATCGGCTGTAACATACTTCATTACATTGGCAGTAAGAATAAAGACATATCATCAGCTGTAACACACTTCATCACATCGGCTGTAACACACAAGCCATCACATCGGCTGTAACACACATGACATTAAATCGGCTGTAACACACAAGCCATCACATCGGCTGTAACACACTAGCCATCACATCATCTGTAACACACAAGCCATCACATAGGCTGTAACACACTTCATCACATCAGCTGTAACACACACTTCATCACATCGTCTGTAACACACAAGACATGAATTAACAATATTACATGAGAATCAAGTTGGCCCCAAATCTACCCTATTGCAGTTTGACATGCATCAGTTGTGAGGATGAAGGGTTCGTTTTGGTCAGTATATGTGGCTATTGTGCTTAGTTTAGTCTTTCGAATGGCAGTTGTTGGACCATTCTAAAGGCGCCTCTTTTTGAGAAGGTTGAATTGAGGGGAGGTGATGCCAGAAAAGTTTGCTACAAATTTGTGATAATAGAAGCCAAACCTTAGAAATGACTCACGTCATGGACATGTTTAGGGGCTGGGATCTGTTTTTGAAGAATCAACATGGATAACATCTTGGCTGAAGACATGCACTAAGTAGGTGACATGTTTTGTCACAAATTTACATTTGCTTGGTTTTAGAGTGAGTCCTGCTTCTTTGATATTTTGGAATACTGCCTTGAGATGACTCAAACGTTCCAAAAACGTTAAAGAAAATATTATGTCATCTACATATATTAGTATGTAAAGAAAATTCATATGTTTTAGTTGCTCTGAAATGGTTTGCTGAAATGCCATAGGAGCATTTTTTAGGCTGAAAAGAAGGCGATTCCATTCAAAAACACCCTCGGAAATGATGAAGGCTGACTGGTGTGTTGTATCTGGATGGAGTGGTATTTGCCAAAAGCCACTAGCACATTCAAGGACACTAAAAAAATGGAGTGGCTGTCGCCTACGGTATCAACGACATCTTCAAAAGGGAAACATATAGGTTTGGTAAATGCATTGAGGCGTCTATAATCTACGACAAAGCGGTAGGAGCTTATGCCTTTTTAACCATGACAAAGGTAGAGTGCCATTCAGAAGAACTTGGCTGAATGATATTGGCTTCTAACATTTCATGCACCCGTCTCGTTTCCTAATGGCTGCGTTTTAGCTATAAAAGAGTCTCTAATCTGTTTATTCAGTACATGAGTGGGCCAGCGGCCCATAGTACAATTCGGTTCACCAGACATGTATAAAAATACAACTGTGTACACCTAAATACACAACAGCAAGGCATTCATAGATAAAGAATATTACTTCTGCAAAAATGAATTCCTTAACTTAAAAGCGTGGTAAATATAACAAGCCAGACTTCTAATTGTTGACTGATGCAGAGACGACATAAGTATGTAAAATTGTTCTATTGATGGATTTACATAATATTTTTGAGGAATATATGTCACTCGGAGAGCACAATATTTTTCACAAACCAATACAAAATGGTATTCAGACTCAACATAGCCTGTTTTACAAACCATACATAACCTTCGCTGTCTTGGGATACCAAAATATCTCCCGGTTTCTATGTGGAGCGAGTGGGAGCTAGCTCTAAAACGTGCCAGTGCAACGCGAAACTTATTGATTGTAATAGCCGATAAATAAAATTCCCTGCTAAACCTAAATTTATAACAAAGATATGATGAATACTTGGGGCTATTGGTCAAAGCAAAATGCCAATCTTGTTCATAAGAGCATTTTAATCTTTGTATGAACTCATCAATAAATGAAATAGAAATAACAAGATGCTGATTTTCCCATACATAGCCAAAGCCATAGGCGTACAAAAGTAATTTAACTCTAGAGGCCCAATTAGTCTTACCTGCTATGGCCTGCTGCACAAGCATATTGTAACTTTTTCGTGGATAACGCGAATCGGGCATCTTTAAAATCTTACACCAATAATTCAAGCATCTTTTGAAAGCATAGATATACAAAGGGTATCTCCCACACTCTCCACGCACAACATGATTGGAAGTTGTCTCATGGGTCTGGTGTTGGTTGGTTGGTTGGTTGGTTTGTTGTTATAACGCCGCACTCAGCAATTCTGGTGTAACCTGTTTCTATTTTGTGATGATATATAAGGGAGTGTGTCCTAATTCTGACATTTTGAGGCAAAAACGATTTTGATAACCCTTTTCAAACCATTTCAATAAACCTAATTGTTTCAATATGTTTCCAAAGTGCAGCAAAGTTCTGTCTCCTTTGTCTGTTTAATGTATACACAAACATTTGGCGTATCCCCCTCATAATAAGCCCCCACCGGACAGGACCCTTTATTCTCAGTGCTCTCTGTAGATGTTAATTAACACCTCCTTACGTGGGTCACTGACATCATCTTTGTAATTGAAAAGCACATTCCTCCAGTAGTTGTGAGTGCAAACATGTTAACCACAAAACTTGGTTTTGCTACAGATGGTGTTGAAAAAATGGTCTTATATTATATATAATGTTATATTTTACTGCTATTGTCATAGTTTTAAAATCACCTGCGCATGTACAATTAATATGTTTTAGTGAACAGTGAGAAAAGTTTAACATTCTTTCAATAGGTTGAATTTGAAATGTGGCGTTAAAAAAATAATCACGGCTCTCGTTTAAGAAGGAAATAAATTTATTTTCTCAGCCCCTAAAATATGAATAATAAAGAAGACTCTACCCAAAACAACGCCCCCCCCCCCCCCCCCCTTAATATCAAATGGTCCACCCCTTAAAACTCTAATACATTCAACATTAGAATCGGTCATGGTACATACCTATTTATCCACCAAAATGTGATTCTGTTTAAGAAAGATGATTCTTGTTCTGGAGATGGCTTCTGCAAAAGAAAAACACACACCTGCACAGGCATCTCCAGTTACGGTGACAATACATCATAGTGTTGCTGTTGGTGTGTTGCTCTCTAACAACGTAATATGTGCAACAGTTTCATGGTAGTGATATTTAGTATTGTAAAACAAGTATGCTAAACAGCTGCTATCTAAGTGGAAAGACTACAAAATGTTCAGAAATCTTCAACACTTTTCATTGTACTGAAAGTTTTCTTTACAAGCCCAAACAATTTTCTTTCTTGTACTACTGATTCTTTGAACCAAATTGGCTGGAAGGAGGGGGGGGGAATAATATTTTCTTCATCTGTTTTGTGACTGTTAGGCTATCGATTCTGGCGATCTCTGTAAAACCGAACGAAAAACGGCAACAATAGCAAACTAACAGACTACATCCGTCCTATGTCATCTTGCAAAGTAGTGCACCTACATTTCCCATGTCGTAGTATCCGGCTTGCGTCATCTTCTCAGTGAAGCAGTGCACCTACCTTGCCCAAGTCGTAGTACCCGGCTCGCGTCATCCTCTCGGCGAAGCAGTGCACCTACCTTGCCCATGTCGTAGTACCCGGCTCGCGTCATCCTCTCGACGAAGCAGTGCACCTAACTTGCCCATGTCGTAGTACCCGGCTCACGTCATCTTCTCGGCGAAGTAGTGCACCTACCTTGCCCAGGTCGTAGTACCCGGCTCGTGTCATCTTCTCGGCGAAGCAGTGCAGCACCAGCTCCAGTAGCATCAAGGCGAAGTAGATGTAGAAGATGCTGAACCGGAATATGTGGCCATTGTAATCCTGAAACACAGTCCAGGGATACAACATGGTCATCCTATGAAACACACACATTATTATTAAGATTTATCAGAGGTAGGGGTGCAAACGTGAATGTGTAGCTCACTGCTACAGTGAGTGAGTAAATGGTTTAATGATGCAGTGTCTCAGCCAGAGGTGTACATGGGTGTAACCATCGAAACTGACCTCACTGATGTAATCATGGTAACTGACTCCACTATTGTAAGCATGGTATTTCATCTCACTCATGTAACCATGGTAACTGATCTCCTGAATGTAACCATGGTAACTGACCTCTTGGATGATCTTGGTGTAGAAGGGGATGATGTTTGCGAGGGTGGTCAAGAGCCAGAAGAACCAGAGAACACCGGACGTGATGATGCCCCTCTTCCTTTCCAGCTGAATCAAGATCGTCGCCAGCAACTGCAAACATCACACGCCACAGTGCTAGCTACGATCAACCGTCGTAAGGCTCACAGATCAAACAACTCAAAATTTGAAATTGTTGCACAAAATTAACATTTTAAGATTACGTTTAGTTAGTGTTTTTCCTGTCAAGAATTTCTATGCTAGTTCAAGTGTATGAAAACAGTTCAACCAGAGAAAGGAAATGGCTTGTGCAAAACATTGTCATTGTGCAAAACAATATCCAGCTGTCTGATTGGCTAGTTGCTGTCTTGTAAAAATAAATATGCACGTTAGTTGTGTGGCTTCCAGAAACATTGTAATGCCACAGTGTTTCATATGAAGTCATCAGCTTGTCACATCATGATTGATCCTTTTCACATTTTGAGTCAACACACCGAGCCCACTGGCAGTCGTTAGGCAGATCTGATATTGTCACACATACATGTTTATAAAGTCTCTCGAATTCGTAACGATAGACTTGTTGAAATTTCGAAGCTGAACAAGCCGTACACCTCTCGACCTTGGGCCTTGTATTTTTCTTTTACTGAACCTCTCTCTACAATTCTTCATGAAATAAATTCTACAAAGATATTTGCCATGGATCCTCAGGGTTCTGACGTTTTTGTCACTCTATAAAGGTTTTCTAAAGCACAGCATATTTCATGAAGTGTTGTAATGACTGACCAAATTAGGAAACATTTTTGTCAGATTTGCGAATGTCACAGTTGATGGTGTAATGCACAGTGGCCATGGCCGTATCCATGATCCATGGTCTATATATCATTGTGCTTTCCCTTGTTGTGATATTATCGTTTGATTTTATCAAATCTTCATATGTACTTTTTATCATTTTCCTACTTCCTTTGAACCAAATTACGTGTTTGATGAAGCATGTGGATAATGATAAGGAAAGGTTTACAAATATCTATCAGACAATGATGACAAGTACCTCCCTGAAATCAAAACTACTTAATCCAGGACTGGATGCCTTCAGCGTCATCACCATATTGGACACAACAAGGATACACACAACAACTGCAATATTGTTTTGAAATATTGCAGTATTATTGCAACAGCTGAAATAGCCTGGGTGTAAATTGCTACTTACAAATGTCCCTGCCTTGATTCCGCCCGAGACATACACGACATCGTAGATCTTCTCGTTCTCGCCATCGCTGGCTGCCTTGATAAGGTCAATCACCGCCAGGAAGGACAGGAACAAGCTGAAAAACTGAGAACACGACACAGACTTCACAGACCTCACAGTTTCATATTTACCCACCCATGGACATGTTGCTCAACAGAAACCCCTAGGAATTCCAGGTCAGTTTATAGGTCCCGAGCAACCGTATTCCAGTAATATCACGGTATGTCAGTTTAATGTCAACACCATACCCGTGCCCGTGGGTTTCACCGAAATGGTAAACGTCTAAGACCTGCATCACTTCGGGCTTTCATCCCATGTTAAGCTGACATTAAGCTATTTTATCGGCAGTGTCTGATAAGCCTATTAAGTCTTGATGTTAGGACATTTTGTATGGAAATGTTATTTTATTGTTGTCTATCATGTATCACTTTAATAAGCTAATTATGTCTGTCTTACTGTTTTGAGGGTGTTAAGGGGGTTGATGGGGATGGAGACGCCGTCCTGGTGACAGAGGTAGGTGAGGTAGAAGGGCAGGGAGACCCACAGCCAGCCACATGGCACCCACACAACCAGACTCTCCTCGAAACACTCCGTGAAACGCGGCCAGCTGCTGTCCAGTAACAGAGACTCATTCTGGAAGGAGGAATGAAATAACATAGCTTTGTGGGTGGTGAGCATCTTGTGTCTTGTACAGCTTACAAGATGTTAATGAACGTAGTCATAACAGCGTACGGTCGACTTTACACAAAAGGTGTCTTGTTCTGTAAAAAGAAATGAAACAACATAGCAATATGGGTGGTGAGCATCTTGTGTCTTGTACAGCTTACAAGATGTTAATGAACGTAGTCATAACAGCGTTGGGGCGACTTTACACAAAAGGTGTCTTGTTCTGTAAATAGAAATGAAGCAACATAGCTATGTGGGTGTTGGGCATCTTGTGTGTTGTTGTACAGCTCCCTGGCATACAAGAAACAACATAGCTATGTGGATGGTGGGCATCTTGTGTCTTGTACAACTACCTGGCATACAAGATGTTAAAGAACGTACAGTAAACTACGGCTATGACGAACTCAAAGGGACCACTAATTTTAGTTCGTAATAACCGTAGTTCGTTATAAGTGTATATACAGCATATATACAACAAATGACTGAATGAAACAACATAGCTATGTGGGTGTTGGGCATCTTGTGTGTTGTTGTACAACTCCCTGGCATACAAGAAACAACATAGCTATGTGGATGGTGGGCATCTTGTGTCTTGTACAGCTACCTGGCATACAAGAAACAACATAGCTATGTGGATGGTGGGCATCTTGTGTCTTGTACAGCTACCTGGCATACAAGAAACAACATAGCTATGTGGATGGTGGGCATCTTGTGTCTTGTACAGCTACCTGGCATACAAGAAACAACATAGCTATGTGGGTGTTCGGCATCTTGTGTCTTGTTGTACAACTTCCTGGCATACAAGATGTTAAAGAACGTAGTCATAAGAGCGTTGGGTCGACGTTATACAAAAGGTGTCTTGTTCTGTAAATATATTTCATACAAGATATTAAAGAAAAAAGACGTAACAAGGTTGAGTTAATGTGACACAAACAGTGTCTTGTTCTGTAAATATATGTCAATCGGGATATAAAAGACCATGTCAGATGAAGGTTGAGTTAATGTGACACAAACAGTGTCTTGTTCTGTAAATACATGTCAATCGGGATATAAAAGACCATGTCAGATGAAGGTTGAGTTCATGTGACACAAACAGTGTCTTGTTCTGTAAATATATGTCAATCGGGATATAAAAGACTATGTCAGATGAAGGTTGAGTTAATGTGACACAAACAGTGTCTTGTTCTGTAAATACATGTCAATCGGGATATAAAAGACCATGTCATAAGAAGGTTGAGTTAATGTGACACAGTGTCTTGTTCTGTAAATACATGTCAATCAGGATATAAAAGACCATGTCATAAGAAGGTTGAGTTAATGTGACACAAACAGTGTCTTGTTCTGTAAATACATGTCAATCGGGATATAAAAGACCATGTCATAAGAAGGTTGAGTTAATGTGACACAGTGTCTTGTTCTGTAAATACATGTCAATCAGGATATAAAAGACCATGTCATAAGAAGGTTGAGTTAATGTGACACAGTGTCTTGTTCTGTAAATACATGTCAATCGGGATATAAAAGACCATGTCATAAGAAGGTGGAGTTAATGTGACACAAACAGTGTCTCGTTCTGTAAATACATGTCAATCGGGATATAAAAGACCATGTCATAAGAAGGTTGAGTTAATGTGACACAAACAGTGTCTTGTTCTGTAAATACATGTCAATCTGGATATAAAAGACTATGTCATAAGAAGGTTGAGTTAATGTGACACAAACAGTGTCTTGTTCTGTAAATACATGTCAATCGGGATATAAAAGACCATGTCATAAGAAGGTTGAGTTAATGTGACACAAACAGTGTCTTGTTCTGTAAATACATGTCAATCGGGATATAAAAGACCATGTCATAAGAAGGTTGAGTTAATGTGACACAAACAGTGTCTTGTTCTGTAAATATATGTCAATCGGGATATAAAAGACCATGTCATAACATGGTTGAATCGATGTGCAGTCGAACAGTGTCTTGTTCTAAAACTACGTCACACAAGATATTGATGAACATGGTTGTAAGAGCATTTAGTCGATATGACACAAACAGTGTCTTTTTCTACAACTACGTCAACCAAGATATTAAAATAATAAAAATAAAAGGCGTTGATATGGTGATGGTTGAGTCGAAGTGACACAAAAGGTGTCTTGTTCCGTAAATATAGGTCAATCAAAATATATAAAAAACGTAGTAGTTGTAATAGTAGCTGAAGCAATAGTAGTAGTACAGGTAGCAGCAGCAAGAATCATAGTAGTGGTAGTGGTAGTAGTGGACAATATCATAAGCATGTGTTTATGAATCACTATCAAATAGTGATGAAAAGCTCCCATAATAGGTAAACCTCAATTACACTGGTAGGACATTAGACACGAAATTCGTGCAAATTCATTTCAATGTTGACCAACTGACAAAACACTACAAGGTATAAACACAACGTAAACACATTTTGCTGATTCATGCTTGTGACACAGACAGTCAAATATTTACATGAACCAGTTTCTTCCCACTAGAACCAGTTTCTTCCCACTAGCAATACCATGGGAAATAAGATATCTGTCCAGCCTATCAAACTTAAGTCATCATGACATGCACATATTTAGGGGTTCCAGATATTTTTTTTAAGTATTCGTATTTACTCACAAGTTATCATTCGAATTAGATATTGGCGGTTTTCCTTTGGTATTCAATATACTTTTACAACCATCGATTGGGTATTTATAGAACAATGAGAAGGCATTCTCAAAATAACTCTGATTAAAACGCTGTTTTATCAAGCACATTTTTTCTGTTATTGTGTTTTAGAGCTATATACGCGTCTCAGTTGCAATAAGCGAGATGTAGCCTTTCCTGGGCACTGCACTACAGTTAATGTACACAAGATGTGCATGTGAAGAGAAAAGATATGTGGGCGCGCAGGCTGAAAGGTTACATCTGTTAGTCATGCATGTGCTGTTATACAAAATGTGTTTGCTTTTTAATTTGTAATGTTATGTGTATGCAAGCAACACCAACACTTAATCTCCTGAAAAAAGTTTATTTTGATGAATTGAAAACTTATTTGCCGAGCCAACTCGTAAGCCCCTACCCCACCCACTCTCAAAACTCAAGGGGACTGGGGGGCACGGGTGGCCAAGTCGTCTATGGCGCCACGATTAGCTGTGCAGAGTTGCGTCCCTTGGACACGCCAGAAACCTATGATTGTGGGTCCGAATCCCGGTCCGCCCCGATTATGTTTCTAGGTGTGTCAGCACCATACCCGTACTTCGGGCTAATGTCAGGTGTCAGGTTGTCCAAATATATCTCTTCCGCCTATGAAGATCTACTTAAGCAGTCGTCTATTATATCCCATCAACTTGTCACAACTGTATAATCTATTTAATCCTAATCCTCACGGTATATCTGGCTTCACTAGCCCTGTGCTTCATTACCTGTGTGCTATTTGTTATTCTACTGTACACCTGGCCAATTATCTGCTTCATATCTATTATCGTTGTTGTCTACGTTGGGCGGTCAGGTAGCCTAGTGGTTTAAACATTCGCTCGTCACACCGAAGACTCGAACTCGATTCCCGACATGGGTACAATGTGTGAAGCCCATTTCTGGTGTCCCCCACTGTGATATTGCTGGAATATTGCTAAAAGCGGCGTAAAACCAAACTCACTCACTGTTGGCTATGTTAATCTGCTTATCACAACTTATGCATATATACCTCTCATCACTTGGTTGTTATCAGTCCAGCTTGATAACGGTGAAAGAATCTTCATCGAAACGTCGCTATATGCAATGAACCAGAATTTGTTATCCATTAAGTTGTACGTTTTTCTTACTCATACGCATGGGTTTTATGCCAAAAGGAGGTTTCAGAAGGGGAAAGTATGCCTCTTTCTAATCAATCAGAACCAAGCATTCGTTATTGTCCTGGTAGAGTCATGGATAAATCCCCGGAACTAGGACACCACTGCTGATCAATCAGTTTTATGAAACTTATGACATGCTCCCCTTTCCTTTTAGCACTGCTTAATGTCAACATACCCTCAAATGAACTGGGCGCAGGTTCTCAACACTTAGGGAGCAGTTCAAACGATTTAAGTCGAATAAATATTACATTTCCTTAAATTCGGTGAAGCAGGGAAATTTGTGTGTCATTAGTCAAGGAAACATTTCGTAAAACATTAAGCAACGTGAAACGTATGTAGTAATTAAATTTGTCAGATTTGTTAGGTTTCATTAATTTTCTAGCAATTTTGAAAGTTTTGATGGACCGACTGGTCTTGATTCTTGAAGTCGTCGCATGTTTTTAGGTTACGTTAGTGATAAGAATGTAACACATTGTTCATGTATAGTATTTTATATATTTAGGTGTCTTCCTAAATTCTTGCACTGGTTGATAACCAGGGGGGCACGGGTGGCCCAGTCGTCTAAGGCGCCGCAATTCGCTGTGCATAGTTGCGTTCCTTGGACACGCCAGAAACCTATGATTGTGGGTTCGAATCCCGGTTCGCCCCGATTGTGTTTCTAGGTTTGTCAGCACCATACCCGTGCTCGTGGGTTTCACCGAAGTGGTAAACGTCTAAGACTTGCATCACTTCGGGCTTTCCTCACACATTGAGCTGACACGCCGTGATATAACTGGAATACTGTTAAAAGCGGCGTTAAACACACATGTCTCTCGAGTCGTTCTCGTAGCAGTTTGGGAATGCGCTAAAAACAAACGTAGAGTCTCATGTTGGGTCTTAATGTAATGACAGGTTTTCTCAAGCTCGACATACTTTAAACTGAATATTGTGATATACGGTCCCTCAAAGCTGAGTGAACACACTCCTACCCAGAGTACAAATGCCAGCCCAGTAAAAATGCTAAGTCATCACTGCGCTGTAGTGTGTGGAGCGAGTGTCCCATATCAGCGGTGACCACGTGACACACGGCATGTTTTACAGATCACCACCCTGTTACATTGGTGTACCGTAAAAAGCTGCATAAAAACAAAATTCGATTAAGGGTTACGGCTCATCCATTTCGTAACATGCGGTTACGTCCTAGCTCTTAGTTTCATCCCCTGTCAGTTATCCGAGGCAAGGGAGTTAATTAACTGTAAAAGTTCTGTTTCCATCCTTGCCGAACAGGGCCATATTTCTGAGCTATATTTTGGCTGGACTAACTAATCAAAATCGCGTTCGTAAACAACATGGCGACCTTCGTGCAGGTTCGGTCCATTGCAGATTTGCAAAGCATGTGTACTGTCAACTGTTTTCCAAATCTTTTCATGTTTTTAATCAAGGTGCTGAAGTAATCTGGTGCACTTGACTGGGCGCAGCCATTTTGTTTGGGGGGGGGGGGGGGGGGGGGCTGCAAATTTCAGCCCAGTTCGGCAAGGGTGGAAACTGGACATTTCTAGCAAGTTAACTACCCTGTGTAATTAGCACTGATAGGTGTAGGAATGGACATTGCAAGGGGCAAATTGGAGCCACCTGGGCAATTAGCCCCCACAAGGATCAAAGCAATATCCATATATATATTCTCTATCCATATATGTGTGTGTGTGTGTGTGTGTGTGTGTGTGTGTGTGTGTGTGTGTGTGTGTGTGTGTGTTAGAGTAGCTTACTTTAACCCCCATTATTTACAGTTTTATGTGTGTGGTGGTTTATCTTTATTCAATCAGTTAGACCTAATCAGTATTCACCTGACAGAGGCGCGAGAGGTCACGCTGAAACGTCATGACAAGGAATAAAAGAAGCTGTTATCCATAAAAATTGTCATGTTTTCAAGACCAGCATAATTAAAAATATTCTTTCGAAAACAAAGTAATTTCTGCCCCAACTCTGGACACAGTGTTTTATGATAACGATAACCTTATCTGTTCAACAGGCGGTTACAAGCCAAGGATTGCATAACACATTGTCATTATTTACCCTAGCCAGTGAACCAACAATAGCACACCTTGGGAAATATCATATTAAGACATACATATTCAAATTTTCGTTAGGAACGACCTACCTTTACATACGGGACGGGTAAGGTCGTATGCACGTCCAGATTTTGTCGTCAGTTGACTGGGTTTAACGTCGCGTCCACGATTATTGCAATTATATAGCGACGTGCATGCACGTGTGTGTGTGTGTGTGTGTGTGTGTGTGTGTGTGTGTGTGTGTGTGTGTGTGTATGTGTGTGTGTGTGGCTGCTTGTACTAGTCTGATCGCCGATTTATAGTGCTAGCCCACTGAGATACCATGCCGCAGTTTAACATGAATACCCCACGCAGACACAGTATACTGACTCCGAGCCGACCAGTCGTTGTTTTAGCCCCTTAATGCCAAGCGTCAGACAGGGTAACAACAAGTACCATCTTTTAACGTCTTTTGGTATGACGCGGCCGGGGATCGGGGTCGGTGAGAACCTTCAAGAGGCGACTAATTAAAAATATCGGCAACACAGGGGACGTGTGAACATATAAATCTTAAATCATTTCGTATGACAAATGAATACTCACAAATATTGCCCCTCCACAAAAGGCTTCAAAGCTGTCGTTCTCAGCCATACCCAGAGAATTCTGATGTGAGGAGAGGGTCTCGTGGTACATTGCCTCCCTTCCCGGTTACAATGACACAGCATTTCTTGACAGGCCGGCTTCGATAACACGCATAAAAAAAATTAAGGCGTCAAAATAGAAACGCAAGTACTAGGTTGCAGTGCAATTGATAGGGCGCTTTCAGTATTATCTTTTGGTGTCATTGGTACGGTTTTAATTGCTGCTGTGGTTCAAAATCATCATTATAATTACCGTTACCAATGTCCATGTGTTGTTGTTGTTGTTGTTGTTGTTGTTGTTATTATTATTATTATTATTTACAGATTAAAATACAAAATGCGGCAAAGAGGGTTTGGATGATCCTGGCACAGTCAGGCTGGTTAGGCTCATCATCAGCTCAGGGCCCTTGCCCCCTCCACACGCAGCCCAGACAGCGAATGGAACTTCTCCCAGGAAGCGCTGCCTAGTCAAACCCACCCAGAACTTTTCGGAGAATGTGAAGACTCCCCAACACTGCAGCCGTCTGCATTACCCAGATTGTCAGAAGGCCAATGTCTCCCAATGTCAGACAACAGTTTGGGAGGTACCAAACCTAAGGCACCAAGAACAATGGGGAGTCGGACAACTTGGTATTTGGGATGCAAGCGTGACATTTCGAAAGCGAGGTCTGCATATTTGCCATGTTTTTACCGAATCTTGTCAATCACATTAGTGTCAAAAGGGGCAGAAAATTTAATAATATAAATGATGTAATTGGATTTATCAGAAAGGTCAAGATCAGGTTTGTTGGCTAGTATATGTCTGAGGCTGTAAATGGGCCTCTTCCAAACGAATTTTGATATCATGAGCATCCATCCACGCAATTGGGATACAATGACATGCATCAACTTAGTCAGCGAGCCTGACCACCTGATCCCGTTAGTCACCTCTTACGACAAACACAGTCGCCTTTTATGGAAAGCATGGGTTGTTCAAGACCTATTAGACCCTGGATCTTCACGGGGTAGGTCTTACCCTGATATAACTGGAATACTGTTCAAATTCATATTGTAATTTTAAGCAATAAATTATCTCAAAGCACTGCCTCCAGAAACTTATGCTTATAGAATTTCGTCCGTCTTATAATGCTACACTATGCAATATTCTAGCTATATTACTGACTCTGAACATGACAAACCAGTGATTGATATACTAAGCAACGTCCCAAGACATCTGGGTACAATTACACGCATTTAAACAAGTCACCAGGCCTGACCACTTGTTCCATTACTGGTAAAGGAGCATAACTGATAATAATCTATTAAAATCAGATCTTAGTTCTCGCTATCGCTAAACAAAGATCTGAGGACATCCCATTAGGGGTCACGTCAGAACGACCTTTCATCCGACCAATCAGAGCGTCGCTTACCAGATCATGAAAAGTGATAGTCGGAAAGTGATTTCTAATCATGCAGCCTCGAAAACTTTAAAACGTGGTATTCCAAACGATAGTTACGGGCTTAACGACTGAATCTATATAATCTAGACCATATACTACCCATTCGAGAATGTTCTTTTGTTCAGGTTTCAAATTTATAAGCAAGAATTTGTCAAAATGTGTTTCGAAGGGTAGTCGCCAATTTGAAATTAGTGCCGTAAAGCACGAGAAAGCTGCCTTCTGATTGGCTAATGTCAGTAATTCCATTGGTCGGTCAGAGTTTGCGAAAGGTCGGTCTGTCATGAACTGTAATGGGATGTCCTCAGATCTTTGTTTAGCGGCAGCGACAAAGATCTGATTTTAATGAGATTGAACTGATAATAACTTGAAAATGCGGTTCGTTTGTTGTATATATTCCAATATTCAAGTAATATGATGGCAGTCTGTAAATATTTGAGTCTGGAGCAGACAACCCAGTGACTGACATCATGAGCATCGAACATCAACCAAGTCAGCGAGCCTGACCACTCGATCCCGAGTGTTAGGTCTGTACAATATTTCCGGTATACTGCAACACGTCTTTTCAAACGATATGTAAATAAATATGTGTTTCGGTGTATTTTGATAAAAATAATATAACCATTGTTATCTGCCCTGAATCCATGACTACAAAATGGCAGCTAGCTATTGACCATCTTGAGTAATATTTATTTAATTTAATGTGTGTGTGTGTGTGTGTGTGTGTGTGTGTGTGTGTGTGTGTAAAAGGCAGGTGTGATTTGTCTTGCCACAGAATACACAGCTCGATTGATCATAACCGCTCTCCGTGGTAGAGTGTCCGCCCAGAGAGCGAAAGGTCCGGGGTTCGATCCCCGGCCACGTCATACCAAAAGACGTTACCCGTCTGGCGCTCGGCATTAAGGGGCTAAAACAAGGACTGGTCGGCTCGGAGTCAGTATACTGTGTCTGAGTGGGGTATTCATGTTAAACTGCGGCATGGTATCTCAGTGTGCTAGCACTATACATCGGCATCAGTCCGGACTAGAACAAGCAACCACACACACACAGGTGCATGCACGTCGCTATATAAGTGCAATCATCTTGGACGCGACGTTAAACCCAATTTCACAATACCGATTGTGCATACACTGTATGAAACAAAAATAACAAAAGCAGGTGATAATAACAGTTTATAACAACACTTCACTGTACATCACAGACACCCTTCTGACAAGGTGTCATTCTGCTACTCAATTCTAATACAACAGATCTAAAATACATGGATTATGCCTGTGTATATAGGCTATACTGAACACTGCATAATCTTCAATGTAGGAATATAAATATATATTGACAATAACAACACAACCGCACAATACATCTGCAGATAGTATCATTTCAACTCCTTGTGGGAGAGTCGGGTGGCCTAGTGGTTAAAGCGTTACCTTGTCTCACCGAAGAAGCCGGTTTGATTCCCACATGGGTACAATGTATGAAGCCCATTTCTGGTGTCCCCCACCGTGATATTGCTGGAATATTGCTAAAAGCGGCGTAAAACTATACTCACTCACTCAACGCTTTGTTGTTTACAGCTGCACAGCTGCAAATGTTCGATTCCCACATGGGTACAATGTATGAAGCTCATTTCTGGTGTCCCCCACCGTGATATTGCTGGAATATTGCTAAAAGCGGCGTAAAACTATACTCACTCACTCAACGCTTTGTTGTTTACAGCTGCACAGCTTCAAATATGACAGCTTGAAACAACTGAGTCTTCACGAGACAAACCAGTGACTGATATCAGATGGTCTGACTTGGTTGACTGCTTCAGTGAGTGAGTGAGTGAGTTGGGTTTAACGCCGCTTTTAACAATATTCCAGTTATATCGCGGCGTGTCAGCTTAATGTGGGAGGAAAGCCCGAAGTGATGCAGGTCTCAGACGTTTACCACTTCGGTGAAACCCACGAGCACGGGTATGGTGCTGACAAACCTAGAAACATAATCGGGGCGAACTGGGACTGCATCAGTGTACAACAATTGCGTTGCTCATTACATCAATCACTGGTTTGTCTGGTCTAGAGTCGAGGAAATCGCAATGCCCCATTCCACAAACTGATCACAGCTCAAAATCTGTCACAAAACAATGTTATGAGAGGAGCTTCGATCGTCAACGCTAAAATTGCTTGGAAGGATGGGGACCTGTATATCAATCACTGGATTGTCTGGTCATTGACAGGTTGTCCTCATATAGCTGAAATTGGAGTCCAGTTAAACAAACAACCACAAACAAGTGAACATTTACCTGAAACATGGAAAACTATCACATTTCAGAAATAGGATTTCAATGTCTTATATGACAAGCAACACATTGAGGATATGATATATGAGGGTTCATGTCATACTGTTTACGACATGAGTGTTTAAATTCAACTTACGCATGAGTTAGAGTTAGAATTTACGCACGAGTGTTGTAAACATAGTATGACATGAACACGAATATAATGTTCTATTTATTACCGAAAAAGATGTCTACATACAGAGACGAATTTTAGTGTGTAAGTTTAACAGAAACAATACACAGTTGTCTCATGACCTGAGATGACCGTAGGGCACATTTGATTTTTATGACCCCGATATGTTTGCCCATATAGGTAATAAATCATAATATCTCATAGACAATGAACATCAAATTTTAATTTGCATATCAAGATGTAATCGAAAAAACAATACAAATTATGACATATCTCTAATGTTTACTTTGAATATATACATTACGTTTAACACAAAACAAGCTCTTCATCAGTTTCTATCTAAATATGCAAATAAATAAAATCATGCACAATCCTGAGTTAATTTATTGTCAATGATATTGTAAAATTGACTCACAAAAAGACATTATGATCACAAATGGTTGGATATATATATATATATGTATATATAAAACATAACAGTACACATCCCACTTCCTCGTGGGTTTTTCTGGGACATTCGAAACACAGTACGATAGATTAAACTATCATATACATATATAACTAAAGATTCTGCAGGGCCAATGGTATAAATGTGCCAAAATGGCTATATAGAGACTACCACTCTCATTCTTGTTAGATACTATTTTTTATGAAACAAGTTCTTTCTATGGTATATGACCAAGCTAAAGCGAAGTCAGATACGATAAAAAGTTCACAAGTTTCGTGATAATGGTATCTCACGAGAATGGGTGTGGTATCTTATTTATTACCCACATTAAATATGTATTTAAATGTAAATACATAACAACTTTCGTTCGTTAACTGACCACACTGAAACCGGTTGCAAATCTGGTTGTGCATGATTATTGATATTTGCCCAAATATGGGCACGTGTGACGGGTGACTTACGAATTTAGTATCTTACCACCTGTATCTTCACCACGTGGATAATAACATATATTATACCGCAATTATGCCAAGTGTTATTGGCAAAATTTTAAAAATCAACATGGTTGATATGGTGACATTTGACGAAGGATACATTTTGTCATCAAAGGAAATTTATAGTAGCTTAACACAAACATTTAGTAGATTTGTATAATATTTTAAAACAGTGGCTTGAGACCTTGTACATACAAGAAGAAAATAGAAATGTACAAATGATGTTCATACCTTTGAACATGTGACCCTTACATT